TAATACATGTTTATTGCATAATTAAATTTTATTAAATGTATATATATTTTATATCAATGAAGCAATATTTGAATAAATAAAAATCTAACTCTTGTGATTCTTGAATTGCAGGTTCAAACAAAATATAAACTTCCCACACTTAATTGGATTGCATTAAAACCTAATCAAGTACGAGGTACTATTTTTAATGAACTGGATGATGATCGATTGCACAATTACATAGATTTTTCCGATTTCGAAGAAAGATTTAAAATTGGTATGGGAAGTCATGTTGCTAATGGCAATAATGAAATCGATGGTCTTCAAAGCTTTCCTAGTAAAAGATTTAAGAAGCCAGAAAATGTATCGCTTTTAGAACATACCAGATTGCGAAATATCGGTATGTGTAATGAAAATTAAATTTTAAAAAATTTTAAAGATTTTAAACAAAATGAAAATTTTTATTTTCATATATTTTTAGCTATATCACGAAGAAAAATGGAAATGCCAGTAGAAAAAGTTATTATGGCAGTAAATGCTTTGGATTTAAAAGTACTTTCATTGGAAAATGTAGAATTATTACAACGTATGGTGCCTACAGACCAAGAAGTATGATTTATTCTACAACTTTTATATTCTATAACTTACTTCTATAACATTCTATCTATAAAAATGATATATAGAAATATTGGTAATTATAATAAAATAAGAATTTATCGTATTACAGATAAAAGCATATAGGGAATATATTATAGAAAAGAAAAATGTTAATCTTCTAACTGAAGAAGATAAATTTTTAATGCAACTCGGTAAAGTAGAAAGGATATCAACGAAATTATCTATTATGAATTATATTGGAAACTTTTTTGACAATTTACATCTTATTACGCCACAAATACATGCTGTGATATCTGCTTCAAGTTCAGTTAAAAGTTCAAAGAAACTACGAGCAGTATTAGAAATTATCCTTGCTTTTGGAAATTATTTAAATAGTAGCAAACGAGGCCCAGCGTACGGGTTTAAACTTCAAAGTTTAGACACATTACTCGATACGAAATCAACGGACAAGAGAATGTGCCTTTTACATTATATCGTAGCAACAATACGAGTCAAGTTTCCAGAATTAATTAATTTCGAATCGGAACTTATGTACATTGATAAAGCTGCGACTGGTACATTAATATTTTAATTATTAAATAATTTTTTGTATAATATTTTTATATTTCTAAAAATTTCTTTTTTTTTATTTTTTTAGTGTCATTGGAAAATATAACTACCGATGTACACGAATTAGAAAAAGGAATGGATCTTGTGAGAAAAGAATTCGAACTTCGTGGTAAAGAAAAACATAACACTGTCTTGCGAGATTTCTTAAATAATTCCGAAGAAAAATTGCGTCGTTTAAAATCTGATGCTCGTGCTGCCGGTGAAGCATTCCGTGAATGCGTTGAATTTTTTGGAGAAAGTCCTAGACAAGCTGATGCTAATACATTCTTCTCTCTTCTTGTCAGATTCGCAAGGGCATTTAAGGTATCGTTATATATAAATTTGTAAAAAAAATTTTTATTCTTAATTAAAAATAGAAAATAGAACAGCAGAAATATTTAAATAAAAAGTAACAAAATAAATATTATAATAATAAGTAAAATATTTTTTACAGGCTGCGGATCAAGAAAATGAACAACGTCGTCGATTAGAAGCTGCTGCTGCAGAAGCTTTAAACGCCTCAGAAGATGTTATTAAACGTAACAAATTAAATCAAAAAAAGCAACAGGTACGTTTTATTAATTATCTATTGTTATTTTTTTCTATTATTTATTTCAAAATATACAGAAAATTGTATTCTTTATGTTGCACGCTATGTATTTGACAGCTTATAACCTATTTATTTTTTCTAAATATAAAAATATAATATAAAAATATAATATAAAAAATATAAAATATATATATATATGTAAATATGAAACATTCATATTTCCTCTATTAGTTTCTTAAAATTTTATTTTATATTATTTAAATTTATAAGTTAAATTTTGGTTTAATTTTTTTTTATATATTCTAAAAAGGATTGATTAAAAATTATAATAGTTATATATATAAAATTTTACAAATTAAATAAATATTTATATTTTGAACTAAATATTCTCTCTCTCTCTCTCTCTCTCTC